TTATATGGCTTCGATTTGTAGTGTAGTGTTCATCACTTCAAAGGGTCATAGAAAAGTGTAGTATTTGCTATATTTATGAGAGTTCTAAATAATATATTCCTCATGATAGCTATCCATGGCCCACATGGATTGACAGATTTACAGCAATTTACACAACAGCTACTGCAAAGTAAAGAGTGTGCTCGTGGGCCTCAGTCCTGACCTGGAGGGACTAACTGTAGGAACAAAAGGATAGTTTCTCCGCTGTGCCCATCAGTCTTTAGTATCTCCACTGAGATTGCTAGTTTAATGGGTATTTATGATGAAAATAAAAGTTTCTGTACATCTGAGCTAAATCTAGCAAACAGCTCTTTTGAAAGTGATTATGAACATTAAAATGGTAAATGTGCTCATTTTTCTTGATCTCACTTGAACATTTTCTATTGACTTCAGTGGAAGGCTGATAGGTTATCAGGGGTAGGATGTTGTACAGAGATGCAGAGACTCACCTGCCAGCCAGTTCAGCTGGTTCCTACTACCTCTAACCCAAGATTTGAGGAGCTCTCTGGGGTAAAAGGAGTTTTTGTGGTGAAACGGAAAAGGGGGGAGACACACCAAACAAACAACACAAAACCCTACTACAAAGAACACCACAAGCATTAAAAAAAAGTGCTAAGCTCAGGAAAACACTTAGGTTTATGTTTGTTATTTAACAATAAAGGCAAGGAGGTATGTTTGGACCGTATCCAGGATAGGACTGTAGGATCCCTAATAATAATGATGATGTCAGTTGTATTTACTGAAACCAAGTTACTGTAAAACATGATCAATTTATGTTCTGAATTTAACAATTATAAAGTGTTAGAAGTAGTAGACCAAGTTTTCTACTAGCATAAATTGGTGCAGATTGAGGGAGAATGGAGAACTGCTACCTTGTGTCTCATCTTTGCAAGTAACTGATTTTTGTTTTCCTTTGGAATTCTGGACTTGAAATTGATTTAATTTATTGGCTTTAGGCTCAGGTTAAACATTGACACACATGCCAGGGTCTCACTGAGTCTGCTGGTCTGATTACCTTGAATCCTTATATTATGTGACCCCTTCATGTCCCAATAGCTGAATGTTTGTGCTTGTTTTTAACTAGGCATGAATGAACTGGTTTGAATGAAAGTTGAACTGGTCCAAATACTGGTTCCAAATGGAAGCTTTTAAGAAATTTAGAACAAGTTTTGTTTAGTCAACCTTTTTCCTCAGGAATTTTCATTTTTATACCTCTATGCTTTCTGATTCCAGTTGTGAGAATAATGCCTACAGTCAGTTTCCTTTCCAACTACTTTAAGAGAAGTTGTATATTGAGTGCGCCTCAAAACATTACTGATCTGAACAGACTAAAATGCCATCAGGAGCATGCGTGTCCCTAGCTTACTGCAAAATGCATTTTAATAAGGTTTTACATTATCAGAGCCTTCTCCTTGAGACAAAGGCTAATCAAAACATGGTATTTCCAATAGTAATGTTCCATTGGAGGTTTGTAACTAGAAGAACACTTTGATGAAAGGAGCTATATTACAGTTATCTCATACTCTAAGCATATTACATATTTCTAATATTTTACCTCTGAAGTAGCGAACTAATGTTTGTATTTATGCAGTGCTAACTTCTCGTGTTTTAAAGTTTATTTGTACAATTTGTTAGCTTAACAAGACCCACCTTAGGCCCAGATCCTGCAAACACTTATGAATGTGCATAACTCTCTAGACACATGAAGTCCCACTGCAGTCAGTGGGTCTGTTCATAGGTTTAGTTATGCATATGCTAGGTCTTTGCAGAATCAGGGCCATAACGTGCTAGCAAATAGTATCATTTTTCTTTAAACAGCAGCAAAAGAAAACTGGAGCTCAGTTTTCGTTCTGAAATTCCCTACTAGAAAATTTGATGAAATTCTCCTAGTTAGTTTGCCCTTCCCCCTCCCCTTTTTAAAAAAAGGATAACGATCTGATTCTGTCACAGAGCTCACGGATTCCGAGACTTCAACAGACCTCTGTGACATCTTCGGCTTCAGCCCGCTGCAGCAGTAGGGCTGGCGCAGCTGTCAGCCCCCATCCAGGAACAGCAGCAGGGCCGGGTCAGCAGACACCGCAAGAGCAGTGGCCCGGGGCCATCATGTCAGCCCCCATCACTGCCAGGTCAGCGGCCCAGGGCTGGGTGAGCCCCCAGGGCCCCCAGAGCAGAAGAGGCCAGGACCAGAGCAGGAGCAGTGGCTGTCGGAGCTGGAGCAAGAGCAACCTCTGGGGCCAGTGATCAGCCCCCACCGCAAGAGCAGTGGCCGGGACTGGGTCAATGCCACAGAAGGAGCAGCGGGGCTGGAGCAGCAGCTGAGAGTCAGTCCCTCTGTTACCTCCCTAGGTTGCCAACTTTCTGATTGCAGAAAACCGAACACCCTTGCCCCACCCCTGCCCCTTCCCTTCCACGAAGCCCCCACCCCTGACCCTCCCCTTCTCCATAATCCCACCCCCACTCTCTCCATCCCCCCTCCCTCTGTCGCTTGCTCTCCCCCACTCTCACTCATTTTCACTGGGCTGGGGCAGGGGTTTGGGGTGTGGGAGGGGGTGAGGGCTCCGGCTGGGCGTGCGGACTCTGGCGTGGGACTGGGGATGAGGGATTTGGAGTGTGGGAGGGGGCTCCAGGGTGGAGCAGGAGGTCAGGGTGCAGGGGGGGGCTCAGGACTGGGGCAGGGGATTGGGTGCAGGAGGAGGTGTGGGGTGCAGGCTCCGTGAGGGAGTTTGGGTGCAGGAGGGGGCTCAGATCTTGGGCAGGGAGTTGAGGTGTGGGGGGGAAGGGTTGCGAGCTGTGGGTGGTGCTTACCTGAGGTGACTCCAGGAAGTGGTGACATGTCCCCTCTTTGGCTCCTAGGCACAGGGACAGATAGGTGGCTCAACTCCACACGCTGACCTCGCCAGCAGGTACCGCCCCCACAGTTCCCATTGACTGTGGTTTCCGGCCAATGGGAGCTGTGGAGCCAGTGCTCGGGGCGGGGGCAGCGTGCGGAGCCTCCCTGACTGCCCCTGTTCCTAGGAGCCAGAGAGGGGAAATGCCGCCGCTTCTAGGAGCTGCACAGAGCCAGGGTAGGCAGGGGAGCCTGCCTTAGCCCTGCTGCAGTGCCGACCAGACTTACAACTGTCTGCTCAGTGGTACTGACTGGAACCACCAGGGTTCCTTTTTGACCAGCGTTTCGGTCGAGAACCGGATGCCTGGCAACCCTACCTCCCACCGTAGGTATTTTTAGTAAAAGTCACTGACAGGTTGCTGGCATCTGTGAATTTTTGTTTATTGGCTACAACCTGTCCATGACTTTTAGTAAAAATACCTGTGACAAAATCTTAACCTTAATATACCATGCTTGGAAGTATATAAACAATTTCTTGGAAAGTCATTACTGTGAAACAGTATAACTAGAACCTAACTGGCTTTCAGTGAAATCATAGACTCCTATACATTATGGAGAGAAGGGATCTCACATGTTATCCTCTGTGCTGTTTCCTTCAATGTTAACTAATCTCTGTTCTCTTCCATGGATGGCGCCTTACTGATATCTCTGAAGAACTGTTTGAATTGCTGAATTGCCATGATTCTTACACTGGATTTCAGGAAAATGCTCCTGATTTGTCTTTAGTTTAAGTCCATTAAGATCTTCTTGTAATATTTTGTATAAGTTTTCCTCTTTCTGATACTTATTCCATTACTTGTACAGAACTACCACATTTCCCATGCTGTTGTGGTAATGGTGCAAGAACTCCTTACAAGCTCTAGCAAGACTGACTATAAACACCTTCTGAAATGAACAGTCGCATATGTGCTTACTTAATCAGGATAAGTTGATTAATAGATACAGTTGGAAATAAACCAGAAGAAATTGAGCTGCAAGGAAGATGGGACTAGAAGCAATCTTGGAAGTGCCTGCTTATTTCTCTCAGTAGCCATAAAGGCCCAAACTAGTCCTGTCTGATGTTTACTTTGGAACTTGGCTGAAGCAAGTATTGATTTGCTTTAACCTATGGCTGATGGAAGTATGAGTCTTTTTGCATGCTGGCTGTAGAAAAGCCCTTTGTCATGAAAATGCCACATGCATCCCATCAGCGTAGTCCACTGGCGGGCTGCGAAACAGTTTGTTTACATTGACCATCCATAGGCACGTCCGCCCGCAACTCCCAGTGTCCGTGGTTTGCCGTTCCCTGCCAATGGGAGCTGCGGGAAGCGGCAGCCAGCACGTCCCTGCGGCCTGCACCACTTCCCGCAGCTCCCATTGGCCGGGAACAGCAAACTGCAGCCACTGGGAGCTGCGGGTGGCCGTGCCTGTGGATGGTCAATGAAAACAAACTATCTTGCAGCCCGCCAGAGGCTTACCCTGACGGGCAGCATGTTGCCCACCACTGTTTAAATGTAACACATTCATACAAAATCCATTACTTGATCTAACCACTGCCTATTCTGCTCCTTTCTTCTCTCCTCCCTTCCCTTCTTAAGTGTTAATTGTATTGAATTTAATGTAGAATCATGTTTTCTATAAAGTCCACTTCCTAGTCAGCTGAAATCCTCAGATAGCTTCTTGGAAAATGCAGCCTGTGAAACTACCAACAAAGATATGAGACATTTCTGGGCACCGCATTTTAAAAAAGATGTGGAGAAATTGGAAAGGGTCCAGAGAAGAGCAACAAGAATGATTAAAGGTC